CCCAAAGCCCCAGTAGATAGTTGTATGTCATAGGTTCACATCCTTCTAGTTGCTGTACGTGGGACTCGGCCTCGCATTGGACGGAGAAGTGGTGCCTCGGGGCGCGCCCGGGATCCGAACCCGGGCCGCCAGCATCAGAGCGCGTGCACTTAACCGCTAAGCCACGGAGCCGGCCCATTATAGCCATTCTGACAGGTGTAAGGTGGTATCTGATTGTAGTTTTGGTTTGCATTTCCCTAATGATTAGTGATGTTGAACATCTTTTCATGTGTCTGTTGGCCATCTGTATATCTTCTTTGGAAAAATACAGAATTTTTTTTTTTTTTATGAAAGGCACTGCACAGACACTGTTTATTTATATAGTGTAACTAGAAAGACTCCAAACATCCTAAAGATAGGTCCAGGGTAACGAACACCCTGATGGACATTAGTGTTTCTTTTAAAAACCAACTTCACAATGTATTCTATAATGTGGATGTTGCAATAAAAGAACCATTTTTACAAACATGAATTGGTTGCTGAGAAAGTTGCCTGTACCATGTGTACTTTAACGCTCAAAACAACACGGTGGAGGAGAAAGACTAGCATAAACACCCAAAGCAGTTGCTGTAAATCAGTCTTCTTTTCTTCTCCATTTCCTTTCTCTTCCCTCCCCTCCCCTCCCCTCCCCTTCCCTTCCCAATTCTTCAGGTCAGTCATCACATTCAAAGTCTTAGCTACGCACATAATCACAATGATCATGGCGTTGAACAGCAGTGGTGCTGAAAATACTATTGAAATGAACATCCCCCTTGAATCCAAATACTGGTGTTTTGAAAATAATCTCCTGTTTATTGCTGCCACTTCATTGATATATTCAGCACATTAGACTAAAATTACTAGGCACAGGAAATGCCTGACCTGTAGTTTATACCTCTGGGATGAGGAATCACGTGAGCAGCAGGCAGAGCATGTGAAAGCCAACCAGCCCTATGAGCTATGGCTCTGTCCAGTCTGTCTGCATGATCATGGAGGGAATGGTGGCGGGAAAGAGCTGACTGAGGAGGTGGACTTCATCGTCCCTGCGAAGGCACACCCTCACCACCACCTTCTGAATTAGAATTTGTTCAATATTTTAGGCATTTGAGTGACCTACAGATGTTTTGTAATGCCCCTTTTATAAGCTACACGTCAAATGAAATGTGGTTCATTTTATTCGAAGTGTGGTTGGTACTTAGAAGTAAAATCGACAGAAGATCTTAAAAACAGACATCTTGCCATCTTAACAGATGAATATTAATCTAGACAGCAAGAGACTATGCGTTTTGTATGTATTTGAGATCATTGTTCTCAGTTGTGGTTTCACTTGTGTATTTATTACATGGAAGTTTAGGATTACTGTGCCAACTTTGAAATGGATTTAATTTTTCCCAAAATATCTTTTATTGTTATGGAAGGAAATCCAGACATAGTAGAGCAGTCTTTAGGAAAGAGTCATAATCTAGGTTTCATTTCCATGGTGCACACTTAAAAATAATTAAAACAACATTTAGACTCTATGGTAAGCCATACATATAAAGAAGAATTCTTTTGGGATTCCCAATAGAGTGATTTGACAGTCCTCTACCTTTCCATCCTCTACTCATATACACTTTAGATCCTATGACTTTAGAAAAAATTTTTGTTTGGTTTGTTTTTAGGTTTCAATCTCTTGTTCCATTTGAATGGGTGTTATCTTTAGGAGCCTAAGTTTAAAGTATGTCTTCTCTCATAAATATTTGTCAGATTTTTTTTCTCCTGATTGTTTACTATTAACATCATCTGGATGTAGGTGTTCCTGAGGCTTAAGCTGTGATGGGTACCTAAGGACTGTAATCACTATGTTTTAGACATGTCCAGAGAGAAAACTCAGCATAGGTAGAGAGAGTTTCAAGTAATGATGAATCCGAGGAAAAGATTAATCCTTGCTCTTAATGGATTAGATGTGCAGACAGTATTTGTCTCAACAGATTTCTTCTCTGTAAACAGCAGGGGCATCGTCATATACTTGACACTTCCCAGTGGCAAAAGCAGTGCTTCTCACACTATCTGTATTGAAAGGCCAGTTGGGTTTTTTAAAATTTCCAATCTGTTTTGGACCAATGCTTTTGTAAAATGCAGTTTAAATGAATTATTATAAAAACAAAAGGGAGAAAAACCAAAGAAATGCAAAAGTCATGGCAAAAAAAAATGCAAATTTGTCATGGCAATATCAAATTCCTATAAGAGTTTCTACATACTTATTCTCAATTTGGATATCTATTTCATCATGGTTTAGTAACAAGAGTTTGTGGACTGGCATCAGTCTGTGGACTACACTTTGAGAAGCTCTGGTCTCAAGTCCTGCCTTTCAGCAATTTCAGCTCAACCACTCTGGTCACAGAGAGAGTGACAACATAGAGCTGAAGGCCAAGGGATGGGGCTAGCTCCTGAAGTCTCAAGTTTTATTTTAGTCTTGTGCATTCTGATTCACTCTATAGCTTGTTTGTGCTAATATAGAAATAATCTTTAAAGTTGTCTTCTCTTTAGGAAAAATAGTTAATATCTATTTTTTCCTCAAATCTCTAAGTGATATTTTTGGTACGGGAAAGTGTCCTCTGTTTACCCTTAGCTCTGCAGTCTCGGTTTGATTGGCAGATGTAAAAGAAGCTTGCAGAATAATACTCTGTGCCCTTGATAATTTTAAAATGGGAGGACAGCTCTTCGTGGCATACTACCTCACATTCATGTAGGAGGAACCATGACTGAAAGGACTGACTCCTTACTTGAATGAACTATATGGCACAGAGAGACCAGTGAGTTCAAGAACTCTGCAATCTGAGGGGCGTTTTTCGGAAGGACTGTTTGTTTTTTAAGTGAAGAAAAGAAGCTTTGGCTCTCTGCTCCAATTGGCAGTGAAATAGCATTAAAAAAGAAAAAAGTTTTATTGAGAATTCACCCATGTAAATTGTACACATGATTTTTAATATATTCACAGAGTTGTGCAGCTATCACCACAATCTGTTTTAGAAAATTTTCACCACCCAAAAAGAAACTCCACACTCCATCTTACTCCCACCCGTCTCCACCTCCCCAGCCCTAGGCAACCACCTATCTACTTTCTGTCTCTATGGATATACCTATTCTGGATATTTCATGTAAGTGGAAGTAGTGTTTTTGAAGTCCATTTTGACTTGAAAGAGCTAGTATGATGTAGTGGTCAAGAGCACCAGCCCCAGAGTCAGGCTTCTTGGGTTTGAATTCTTGTTCTGCTGTTAGCAGATTTATTTCTTTGATGATTAAATAGTATTTCTGTGCCTTGATTGCTGCTCATAAATAGGAATAATAATGGGCCCTACGTGAGAAGCGTGAAGACCAAATGAGTTAATCTATCTAAAGCATTTAGAACAGTGCCTGGCACAAGAGTAAGCACTCATGGAATATTAGTGCTGAACTCATACATTGGAAGGGAAAAAAATCACTTCTGAAATCGTGGCAAAATAATGAAAATAATTTTGACGTAGGATTCTATTTTATTTTTGTTGTAAGAACTTAGTTATTTGAAAAGGGATGATGGGGGAAGGTTACACATTTTCTTGGTTTAAAGAGTGTCAGATTATTAGTTCTGTTTTCTGGGCTAGTAAAGATTGTGTTAGATTAATTAAAATGGAACTTTTACTAAAGTTGAGCAGATTTGCTGTTTCCTTAACATCTACTGCTTTATCAAGGGAAAGGGTTTATGTTGCTCTTGATCAAGAACTCATGTGAAGGTCTATTTTCTTTGGAGAGCTGTCATTTAATCTCAAAATTTGTGTAAGTTAATCCTTATACCTTGGTTTATATTAAAAAAAAATCATTTCCGTTAAAAATTTTTTCCCATTTTTACGTTCATAATCAGAAAGCTGTGGTGTGCACAGCATAATTTTTAGGTCTTTTTGGATCTTTGCAGGTTTTTATTTTTCTTAGTTCATATATTGGGCAAGATGCTTGGAATTCAGTACACTTGTAGGTCAGTTGTGGAGTTTAATTTTAGAATCATTGAATATAACTGCTAGAAGTGATTATCTTATGATACCCCTTACTTTTGTTGACAAGGAAATTGAGAACTTTAGGTTAAGTGACTTCTAGAAGGCTAATTATTGACAGACCTGGGACTAGATCCCATCGATTGTAGCTCCTTTTTCTGCAGATCATAACTTTTCCCTCATGATCACAGTCATTTAACCATCTTTCACATGTAGTCATTACGTTGCTTATGTAGAGCTACAGTCCCTTGTTATATAGACAAACTGAGTGGGTCATACTAACAATATAGATTTATTTTTGATGAGGTTGTAGGTCATCAGGATTGCCCTGCCATTCCTAGGTATCAATCTGTAATGCTTCCTTTCCTATCATGATAATGGTGACGTCAGGATGGAGAACAAAGGTCTAGCCAGACCTTTATTTCTTTAGTAACCTTTAGTGTGTGAAGGGACAGACCTCTGAAACATAAAATGGGAACCATTTACCTCAGTTCACAAGAACATTATGGCAAAAGCCTTTTTGACTTGGTGAACTAGCTTCCTGAACAATTCTGTACAGCTTGTGGGTGCAGCTGCTCACTGGAAAGTTCTCACAGCTTGCCCCTGATTTGGGAATGGAGCCAGGTGGGTAGAGATTTAAGGCTACGGGAGCTTCATTACTTTCCTTCCATAAAGCTTAGCATTCCTTACATTTTTCAGATGCTGAATGTCTTTAAAATCCATTGCATTTTCCTGCTTTATCTTACTATGTGTCTCAGGGAAATTAGTGTCTACTCCTTGGTGGATTTTCATTTATTTATTTATTTATTTTTAAAAAGAAAGATTTAAATGTCTTCTCAAGAAAAATGGAGCCATCAGTGTATACATCTGTTGAACTAAAACAATGTTAGGAGTATTTTCCGTCATCTCAGATTTCACGTGTTTTCCTTATTTTTAAACTATCCACTGTAACAAGAAACTGAATTGACCCACCCTCCAGTCTCCTTTGTTTCTTCCCTCCACCACCAAAGAAATATTAGTTTTTATAATTGCATTTAAGTGTATATATTGAGTTGCTTTTTAAAAAACTTAAGCATATTATTGAGTTTCTACTTCCTTTCTTGAGAATTTCATGTGCTAATGCAATATAAGTACTTTTGTGTGTAATAGTAAGTAATAATTACATCTTGAGCACATTTCATGTTTAATATAATCTTATTAGTTCTAAATATAGTAACTGAGAAGAATTTGAGTGACAAGCTCCTTCATGTGTCTCTAACTTTATAGAGTATTTATGGTTTTTTGTAATTATTGCCTGACAGTTTAGGTAAAGTTTACATGTTTTAGAAGGTTTGCTAAAATGATTAAAGTTTAAAAACTTTATTTTTAATTAAAATATTATGTCTATTACTTGGGCTCTTCCTGAGTCTGTTATGTCTTTTTAAAAAACTCATTGTGAAGTATAAAACACATGTTTTATACAAACACATGTTTGAAGGTCAAGAAATAGAACTTTGCCAGAACCTCAAAAGCCCCCTCATGTCCCCTTCTAAACACTATTTTTCTCTCTCCTCCAAATGTAATCACTGTCCTGATTCTTTTAGTAATGTTTCTTTTCTTTGTAGTTTTATCACCCAACCATGCATCCCTAAACACTACAGTTTAGTTTTGCCTGCTTTTTAAAAAAAACTTTTTATAAATGGATTCGAACAATATATGTTTTTTTGTATTTGGCTTCTTTTGCTCATTATTATGTTTGTGAATCAATATACATGCAAACAGTTTTCAAGAAATTTTAATTATGTGGGGAAAATGGAATGGGAAAAATAGTAAAGGGACTTAGGAGTTAAGGCGCACGTTTTACTAATGGTTTTGCCTCTAGCCAGCAAAGATAGCTTTGAGCAAGTCACTTGAACTCGCAGGATCTCTTTTTTCTTCTGTAAAACGTGACCGAATGGGTTTAAATGTTTGATAGGACCCTTTCAGCTCTAACCTTTGATGAAACTGGATGAATAAGTGTTATACTATGCTATCCTTAATTTCTTTCATTTTTGTTTTCATTAGGTTGTCTTGGAGATACCCAGTTTTGTTTTAGATTTCGACAGTCTTCTGGGAGGAGGGTGTCACTGCATTGTCTCCTGGATCAATTTGACAAAGATTTACCAGTTTACTTAAAGGTTGGAAAAGTAGTAGTAGAAGAATGTCCATGTGAGAGGAAACTTGAGAATTCGGTTACTCAGTTACCTCTTATAGCATTCAGAAATATTTGATTTTGTTTTGATACTATATTATACTGCTGGATTTCCTATGTGAGTCTGACTCATAAGGATTCAGCATGTGAAGGAAAGAGACTTTATAAAGTTACTGTTCTGGAAACCTTATAAGGCCATTGTGAATTATGGAAATTGATTAGAAAGTTCATGTAATTTTCTTTCATTTGTTAAAAACTCTTTGTTTAGATGTGAAAGTGGGGTGGTACTATACCAGTAAATATCACCCAGAATTGGAGATTCCCTGTGGTAATCCCTGCCTACTTTATGGTAGAATTATAGGTGTCTCTTTTTGATTTTTTTAATAAGCTGTTTATTAAAAACAATTTTAATAATTCAGGAGATTTCAGAGTGTAGGTTTCTGTTTGGTACTCCATAGTTACATCTCTAACTGCTTGAGGAATATTTCCGTCTGATGTATCAGCACATCCAATATGACCTTGACATCGTTTGCCTAAAATCAGCATTTACACTTTCACTAATGATGGGAACTCTCTTCCAGTTAGCAAAGTTATTACCTTTGTAATGTCTCTTATAGCCATTTACTCCTTTCCGTGACCTTTTGCTATCACTATTAACGTATTATTTCAACTGATGATAATAATAGTTACTATTTATTAGAGCTTTTTATGTTCTAGGCACTGTGTTAATAAGCGTACATTATCTCATTAATCCTCCCTATAGTGTTCTGAGAGAGTTTCTTTTGTAGATGAGGGAATTGAGGGCTATTGAGGATAAGAAATTTGTCCAAAGACATCCTACTTTTCGTTTTTTGCAATGCAATATATCTTACACAGTGTTGACAGCTAAAGTGTACATATATATTATATAAAAATAAATAAAATCTAAAATGACTACCTATTTCTTAATGAATAAAGAGTTAATAATAGGTACTATTTCCTTGTCCTCACTTTTTGGGCCTTTCAGAATAAGACCTTTACCTTTCCAGTTTCCAACTTCATCTCCTTTCTATACATGTACCATATTTTAGCCAAGCTGAACTACCTACTTTTTCCTGAGATAGCTTGTATTTTTATGTCTCTGAGTGTTTTTGCTCAAACTCCTCGTCCTCTAAACCTGGAATGTCTTTGTTTGTCATATTCATCCTTCAATGCCCAATTCAAAAACAGCTGCCTCCATGAAATCTTTACTGATCCCTATAGACAGAGATAATCTCTTCCCCCTTGGCCTTCATCTAACACTTTGTGCTTTCTTTATGGTACCCACCCTCCTATTACATAATAGTAATTTTTTCCCCCCCAAAGCCCCAGTAGACAGTTGTATGTCATAGTTGCACATCCTTCTAGTTGCTGTATGTGGGATGCGGCCTCAGCATGGCTGGAGAAGCGGTGCATCGGTGCGTGCCCGGGATCCGAACCCAGGCTGCCAGTAGCAGAGCGCGCGCACTTAACTGCTAAGCCACGGGGTTGGCCCCATAATAGTAATTTTTGTGCTTTGCTTATCCCTTCTTCGATTGTGATCTTCTTAAGGATCTGTATCTTATGCATCTTTTTATCTTCTCTAACACAATGCCTTATTCAAAGTAGGTGGTCAGTAAATATTTGTTTAAAGAATGACAATCAAATAAGGAACTGGGCCAAAGTTTATTCTATTAGGATATAAAAACTTCTTAAAGTTTTTGGAATGTAATTACCTTTCAAATTGTATGTTGATAAACATTCCAATGTTTCATTATTATTGGGTAAAAATATATATGGCTATATAAGATTCAAATTGGCATTTAACTCCTTTTATTTTCTCTCTTGAAATTATACATTAGGATACCTCATTTTGTTAAGACTGATGCCTAACTCAAACTTGTAGGCAGAATTTAAAAAAACTAACTATAGCATTGGGGAAAACATAGAGTTTGTTTCATAACTTCTGTTAGCTAGTACAGATATAAATAAAGAACATAAGCTGAGTAAGTTATGGGGGAAAAATCTGACTTAGTACTTTAGTTACGATTATTACATCTTCGGGCAAGTTAGCAGGTTTTTATCTTGCAGTTACTGTCATGATTATTGTTTATGTTGGTGGAAAAGCATAACTAGCTCTTTGTGTATACCTCATATCTCAGTTCAGGTTTATAAAGGAACCTGATGTTAATAATACAGGATAGCAATATATATATATTTTTTATTTGTCACTTCATTCATAAGTGACTTCTCTTTCATAGAAGGATCCTGCTTATTTTTACGGATATGTGTATTTCCGACAAGTTCGAGATAAAACTCTAAAAAGAGGCTACTTTCAAAAGGTACTTTTCATTTACACTAATGGAGAAAGTATTTTTATATTGTGGTTAGAAAAATAGAAACTATTAGAATGAACAGTCTTTGAAGTCTTTCATATTTTATCTGTCAGCATACTAGAATTTATGTTTTGTCTTCGTTTTTTAAGATTATAGACACACCTGTGTCTGAATTTTTAACTGCTGTTAAATTTTGCCTTTCTGCTCTGTGCAAAAGCCAGAAGAATCTGCTTAATTTTCACATTTTAGAATAAGGGAAAGAATAAACAGACTGTAATATTGTTACAACTAATAAAAGCCTGCAGTATCTTTCTTTGAAGAGCCAGTAAATATACTTTAACAACATCTTAGTCATTACTGTTTCCACTCTAAATGTACAATCTTTTTCTTTCTTAAAAAAAAAAAATCAGTTGGTTCTGATTTAATCCCAGCTAACAGGGACACACCTTTACCTTTTGTAACCAGGATGTGCCCTGACCACTAATTGATGCTGGATGGAAAGGTAAAAAGTAGTTGTCAATAAAAATAGATTAAAAAAAAAAAAAGATCAGCATAATCTGTATCTGAAATGATCAAATTATAAAGTCACAGTTTCTAAATATGTCACTATGACCATTGAACTCTAAAATATAACAATCATAGGTCTTAGTTTGAAAAAGCATTACAATTTGCTCTTATTAGGAAGAGTTCATTTGGCTAATTCCTGATATTGCTTTGCTAATGACAGTAGTAGCTAGGCTTTGGAAATTATCCATGACATTAGTCTGTTTATAGGAAATTCTTTTTCCTGGAGAGCAGGGAAATCTGTGAATATGCCTTTATGCTCTTAAAGTGTAGTAATAAGGTTAAACGTTTTGCATTCTGCAAATGTAGTGTTATGTTTCCTTTTAAACATCCACTATAAAAGCCTTCTTATTTCAAAATCCACACTTTTTGCTGAATTTAGCTTGTTAGTAATTGATTATGTAAGAAATGACAAGCAAATTTTACTCATTAGGAAATTTAAAAAACATTGTTTCTTTTTCTCTCTAGTCCTTGGTTTTGATCAGCAAACTACCTTACATTCATTTTTTTCACACTGTGCTCAAACAGATAGCACCAGAGTATTTTGAAAAGAGCGAGCCTTATTTGGAAGCAGGTAAGTTAAACATTCTGTGAGTTAGCTACCTTTATGACGAGTTTTAAAATTTTTACTGGACATGAGTGATAAAAATGAAGTGGACTTTCCAAAAAAATTAGTTAAGAATTGTAAGGGCTATATGGTGGTAGAGAGATGTAAAACTATTCTGGCATCTTTACATACTAACACCAAAGACCATATCTTTTATTTCTCCTTTTGTAACATAGATGATGCCTGTTTATTAGAATAATAATAAACAAATACTGAGTTGACATTTCTGATACTCAGAGTACTGTTAAACAAAAATCCTTATGTCACTCGATACAGAGAGATGCCTGTGCTATGCTTTTGTAGCTAATAGCAGTAGTAGTAAATGAATAGGAAAACTCCCTTTAAACCTATTATCTTGTTGCTTTCAAAAAATTTATTAACCAGTTTGTATCCTAGAACATAGGTGTATTTCTGGTGAAATGTAAGATATTTTTCACTACTTTTGCTTTTCTTTTACCTTTTATCTTTCATTCATCCCAGGATATTTTTCCTGCTCTATAGAATGTAGAGTTTTAATTTCTAATATTCCATTTTTTGTATTTTAAAGTTCCACTTATACTAAGAAAATATTGTATTATATTTTTCAGCTTGTAATGATGTTGATCGATGGCCTGCCCCAGTGCCAGGGAAAACATTACACCTGCCTATTATGGGGGTGGTAATGAAGGTAATAGCTTATATTTCATTTGTCTCATTTTTTAAAGAACTGTAGGAAGTTCACACATGAGTTTTGCCTTTTAACTTCCTAATAACATTCAGTCCTGTTATTGCTTTCACCTGTTTGTCATTGATGTGAAGAGTTACAGAGATACCACAATTTATCCTGCTGCAAAGAATCATTAGTCACACAATTCCAGGGGCCACCAGTCCCCTTTCATCCTGAAGAGTTTGCATGAGGGTGTCATTCTTATATAATACATGTGAATCTAAATGCCACCTCCTAGAATTCTGCAACTTCATGGGCCTCCAGAGATGGCTGGTATTGCAGAACACTTGCAGAATTGACTATGAATTAGTAAAAAGTAAAAGAAATTAGGAAAGCTATTGGTTCTTAGTCTCAAATGATCTTAACGTGTAATGTCAGACCAAACATGTCCATCCCAGGCTGTTGTGCTCTATTAAGTTTTGTTGTTGTTTTTTAAAAATGAATTAGCATTTTGCTCTCAGGATTTCTATGAATGTACTCTGAGTGCTTTTGCAATTCATTTTCAAATTGGACTTATTTTTGACAATGCTCGCTCTTTAGATGTACTCATTTGTATAGGATCTGTGTTCTGTTTTTTCCCTGGGAAATCATAAAAAGTAGTACTCATAGCTCTGGGTTGAGAGTTCTCATGGTTTCCTGTGAGATTTATCCTGTCGTTTGGCAAGCTTGAGAGGGTGTGTTTGGGTGTGTGTATTAATCAAGCAAAGATGGGAGCAACAAACAGGAAGCGGTGTGAAGTTGATGTCCTGTTCTGTTTCCAGCACGTTTGCTTCTCAGTGTGTGGGAGTACAGAAACGTTGATTCACTTACCCTTTGCTATGACTAAAAATAAATATGACTTTAGTTTTTTAATTTGACATAAATGTTTTGTTTTTATGGCTTTTTAGGCATTGCTCAGTATACCTTTTTAGTGGCAGGATGCTTCTGATCTTTCATTGTAGTGGGACTTGCAAATTATAGAAAGGACATTCTTTTGTAGCCAAAGTTAATTTTGTCTCTTTCTCTTTAAGGTACGGATTCCCACATGTCATGACAAGCCTGGGACAACTCAAATAGTACAGTTAACTCAGCAGGTAATGTGGTACTATGGTAGAATAATCCAGCATAAAGTCTCTGTTAACAGAATTTTTTTTTTTTTTGCTGAGGAAGATTCGCCCTGAGCTAACATCTGTGCTCATCTTCCTCTATTTTGTATGTGGGTCACCCCCAAAGCATGGCCACCGCTGAGTGGTGTAGGTCCACGCCCGGGAACTGAACCTGGGCTACCAAAGCAGAGTGTGCCGAACTTAACCACTAGGCCATGGGGCTGGCCCCCTTAACAGAATTTTTAAATTAGCAAATGCAGAGTTTCTTGGGCTTATGATATATTTCTGAATATTACTGAAATATCTCATTAAATAGTTTTTTAATGAATTGATAATAGACTTCCTAATGTTTCTCAGATTCTTTTTCTTCTTTCTCTGGTAGACACTGGAGAATTCAGAATTTATACTGTAATTGTGAGGACATGGGGAAAGTAAATATTTTTTTCAACAGGGTTTAATTGTAACAAAACCTCTTATCTTAGAAGTGGTCAGCAGACTTCTGTTTTTAGGAAACTCAGTTGAAAGGATTCTGTAGTTGTGATTGTCTTTGGTTTTTTCCAGAACTATGTCTGTTACGGGTGGGGTTGAATTTTTCACTTGAAATATTTTGACTGGTGTTATTAGCACTTCCACTGGTTTTTGAATTTAATGAAAATGGAGAGGAGTAGGTAAGCTAATTTTGCCTGTTATATGTATCAACTAGTATTACCGTAGTATTTCATACAGTTGCTAGTTAATCTAACATCTGACTATTGGATTAATGCTTTATCTAAGGGATCTGTGTTATCCTTGACCTTTTGCTGTGTTAGGGGAGATAGGTTAGACCTCTTTGTGGCTGCTCTTGGAGGAAGAGATCTTAAAAAATACACAAGGCAGCATGGCTTAATGATCATGAGGTAGATAGGCATATTTTAAAAATCAATTTCTGTACATTTTAATGACGTCTTCTCTTTATTTTTTCTTTTCTATCTCTTAGGCAGACACACATATATCTGTTATTTTACCTACTGTTCATGAGGTGGATCTTTTCAGGTAAAGAATAAAAAATTTTGTTAACTACCTTTTCTCATTTGCTTTGTGATATTGCTGTGAATTTCTTTAAAAAATGAATGTTCTTATACAAAAGGTGGAAGAAACTGGAAGAAAATAGTCACTATGTTTCACATGTTATAAGTCAGTGGTTCATCCCTGACTGCATGTTATGAGCTTTGACAGTTAGGGAAATTTGGATATGGATTGGGTATTCCATGGTAGAAACAAATTATTTTTTGTTTGGTTTGGTGTGAGAATGGTGGTGTAATGATGTAAGAAAAATGCACATTTTTTTTAGAGATCCATTTTAAAGTATTTTGAGGTGAAATGTCGTGAGGTTTATTTTATTTTATTTATTTATTTGTTTTTTTTTGTGAGGAAGATCAGCCCTGAGCTAACATCCCATGCCACTCCTCCTCGTTTTTGCTGAGGAAGATTGGCCCTGGGCTAACATCTGTGCCCATCTTCCTCTACTTTATATAGGATGCCGCCATAGCATGGCTTGACAAGTGGTGCGTTGGTGTGCGCCCAGCATCCAAACCTGCAAATGCTGGGCCACCGAAGCAGAGCATGTGCACTTAACCGCTGCACCACTGGGCCGGCCCATGCGTTTTATTTTAAAATACTTCAGTAAGAAAAAATAAATGAAGTAAAAATGGCAAAATATTGTTAACTCTGGATGATATGTATATGGGAATTCTTACACTATTGTCTTTACTTTTTAAGTTTAAAAGTTTTCAAAATGCAAAATAAAAAAAAAAGAGAGGGGCCGACTCGGTGACATAGCAGTTAAGTGCTTGCGCTCTGCTGTGGTGGCCCCGGGGTTTGCAGGTTCAGATTCCAGGCACTCACTGAGGCACCACTTGTCAAACCATGCTGTGGCAGCGTCCCATATAAAGTAGAGGAAGATGGGCACAGATTTTAGCCCAGGGCCAGTCTTCCTCAGCAAAAAGAGGAGGCTTGGCATCAGATATTAGCTCAGGGCTAATTTTCCTCATGAGAAAATAAAAAAGGAGAGAGAGAGAGAATCTAGCACTTAAAAAAGAAAGAAGGAAAAAGTACCAATATCTATGCCTTAAACGGAGCAGCTAAATAAGAATCTTTAGATTGGTGCCCGAGATCCAGCTCCCAGGTGGTTCTAATGTGTAGCCCAGCTTGCGAAACCACTGCTCTAAATGAGCAATTACTAAATACTAATACATGTAATCAGGAGTCATATGAAAGACCTTGAATGAGTTTTTTGATTTGATTTTTTTGTGTGGTTTTTTTTTTGATGACCTTTAAACTGTGTGGAATACTGCTTCAAAGATTGATTAATTTTATATGCTAGATTTGTTTTATACACTTGGCCCTAGCACAGCCGAGTAACCCCACTTCTAGGTATTTACACAATAAAAATGAAAACATATCCACATAGACTTATATGCAAATATTTATAGCAACTTTATTCATACCAGCCTAAAACTAGAAACAATGCAAATGTCCATCAACGGGTAAATGGATAAACAAAATGAGATGCATGTGCATGGAATACTTTGTTGTTAGTGCTGTCGAGTGGATTCTGTTTTTTTTTTTTGTGAGGAAGATCAACCCCGAGCTAACATCCATGCCAATCCTCCTCTTTTTTTGCTGAGGAAGACTGGCCCTGGGCTAACAACTGTGCCTGTTTTCCTCCACTTTTTATGGGACACCACCACAGCATGGCCTGACAAGCGGTGCATCAGTGCGTGCCTGGATCTGAATCTGGGCTGCCAGCAGTGGAGCGCGCGCACTTAACCGCTATGCCACAGGGCCGGCCCCTGTTGAGTGGATTCTGACTCCTAGCGGCCCTGTGCACAGCAGAGCGGAACCCTGCCCATTTTTTTGTGTGTGCTATCCTCTCGTCTTCCGGCGCTATATCAGACAGTGCTCCACTGCCTTTCATAAGGTTTTCATGGCCAGTTTTTTTGGACATGGGTGGCCAGGTCCTTCTTCCTAGTCTGTTTTAGTCTGGAAGCTCCACTGAAACCTATACACTGTGAGTGACCCTGCTGGTATTTGAAATACCAGAGGAATAGCTTTCAGCATCACAGCAACACGCAGCCATCACAGTATGACAACTGACAGACGGGTGTTGTGGTTCCCTGACTGGAAAATGAACCCCAGCTGCGGCAGTGAGAGTGCTGAATCTTAACCACTAGACCACTGCGTGGAATACTGCTCAACAATATAAAAGAATGAACTGTTGATACAGTCAACGACATGCGTGACTCTCAGAAACATCATGTTTAGTGAAAGGAGCTCAATTTTAAAGAGCTGCTTACTGAATGTTTCATATTTATATGATATTTTGGAGAAGGCAAAACTATAGGGACAGATATCAGATCAGTGGTTGCTTGGGGGTGGGGGAGGGAAATTGACTACAAAGGGGATGAGGGAGTTTTTTAGGGTGGTGGAACTGTTCTGTATCTTTGGTAAGGGTGAATTTTGCTGTATGTAAATTATAAATCTTACTTAAAAACAAATTAATTTTCTTTTAAAACATTAAATGTTGTAGCATTCTTAGAATGAAAAGGGGAAGTGTCCCTCAAATAAATGAATAAATATCACAGGAAAAATATACTAAGAGGGATGCATACTATTTATAGTTTTGATATTTCATTCATTAAGGAATACATTGAAGGATAAATAGAATTCGATTACCAGACTTTTTTTTTTTTGAACTAGTGGATACAAGTCTTAATGCTTTTTGTTTGTTATGAATTATCTTTGCTTTTGTGGTAATTAATTAGTCCCACCACTAACACCTTTGATTAGCATTTGTCTTTTCTCCCGAATATGAATTACATGTTATTGTTTTTAAAGTAGGACAAGTTAGTTTGTTGTTTTTTAATGCTTGTTGCTCAAGAGATGAGAAAACCAAACCTTGAAGAATAATAACCTCACAGAGATAGTGCTGTGCCAAGCATTTAATATCTGATGATAGGGTTAATACTTTATCCATAACAACATTCTTATTTTGTGTGTGTAGAGCTTACATTTTACATTTATTAGTATGAATAAGAGTTCAAATGTTTATCAGTTATATTGAAGGTGATATTTTTTTACCAAGACTGAGCTTGAGAGCAAAGGACAGAGACCTGGAAAGATGTTTGAAGTTGAGTGACAGAGATACAGTTGAGTGTGGGCGCACGTTTCCCTTCTTTCACCAGGTCAAAGCTTGTTAAGTTACTACTATTCCATGGACCATGCTTTTGGTTTCAGGTCTCTCTTGATCACAGAAATAGTCTTCTCATTCAGTTTTTAAGTTGGGCTTGGAATTGAAAGACAGTTTTCTCTCAAAAGAAACTGACATTCACTTGCCTAGAGTCGAGGACATTTTACCTCATAATACTTGCTGTTGGTTGTTCACACAGCAAGAGGCGTATCAGTTATGTGTCATCGTGTCCCCCACCCCCATCTTGAGAATGAAGCAATCTTGGCATTCCTACCCAAGTGGCAGAGTAGACAACAGTTATGGTTGTTTCTGTGTTTCAGAGACTGAGGAAACCTATCACCACATAAAATGTGCCTGGTGCTCTTTGATACATGTTAGTTTCTTTTTGCTTTTAAGATTGTAATGACATGCTATATCTTTCTGAAAAGATTGCAACTGTTCTTTCTTTTGAGTGAGTTTCTAATTTTTGAGGGGGTGATGGCTTTTGAAGGGGATAGAACTTAGCATAAAGCATGGTACTCCAGAATGGGGGATATAAAAGTAGTGCTAAAAAAAGACCCTGTGATTTCCCTACGGACCCCTCATTTTAGTAATTCTACACTGCAGTTAATTTGATGCATACCACCAGTATTTGTTAAGTTAGAGCTGGAGAGAGATTTCCTTTCTTGGATATTTAACACTTACCTCCCCCCAATAAAAACTACTTTGTATAACAGATATTGCTAGTGTAAATCAGAGGTTGCTGAAAATGCTTCATCATGTAACCGTACTTTCTGTTTGTGCCTTTACTGATAATATATTACTATACTCGAGAGAAAAAGTAATTTGCAACTTTGATGCCTTAAGAGCATCCCACTGTTAAAGTCAGTTGGTCAGATATTTCCATATAGGTCTTTTTCATTTTTCCTTTGCTTATTTTTAAATTATATGTATATAAAATATAACAGAAATATATATATTTAAAATATACATACTGTACTGTACCACTTTTCTGTAAATTTGTGATTGTTTCGAAATTTTATATATGTAATTATATATTATGTGTGTATATGTGTGTATATGTATACATATATGTGTACGTATATGTGTGCACACACAGCCTAGAGATGACACAATGTAGACATCAAAATTGGGAAATTAACGTTGGTAAATAATTACCATCTAATACTAAGACCACATTCAAATGTCACCAGTTGTGACAATAATGTCTAGTTCAGAATCATCTGTTGAATTTAGTTGTCATGTCTTTTTAGTCTGGAATAGCTCCTCAATCTTCCTTTCACTTTCAGGCCCCTGACATTCTTGTGGATTACAGGACAGTTATTTTGCAGGAAATCCCTCAATTTAAGTTTGTCTGGGATTTACTCATGATTAGATTTCAGGCTCTGCACCTTTGGCAGGGAGGGTAGCACACAAGTTTGGCTTGCCTTGTTACTGATGATGTTCACTTTGATCACTTGATTAATGTGCTGTTCTCCAAGCTTCTCCATTGATAAGTTATTCTTTTTCCTTTTGTAAGGAGGAGGCAGTTTGAAACTATGTATATTAGTTATTTATTGCTGTGTAATAAATTACCCCAATACTTAGAGGCTTGAAAGAACAAATATCATTTCACACAGTTTCTGAGGGACTGCTTAGCTGGATGGTTCTAGCTCTGGATCTCTTATGGGGTTGCACTTAAGGTGTCAGCCAAGGTTTTGGTCATTTGGACAAGTAGGGCTGGAGGGTCTGCTTCCCTAGAAGGCTTACTTACTTGGCCATTAGCTGGAAGTCACAGTTCCTTGTGGCTGTTGGCAGGAGGTCTCATTTCTTGCCATGTGGACCTCTCTATAGGGCTGCTTGAATGTTCTCACAACATTCAGCAGGTGATCTGAGAGAAGGCTGAAGACACAGTGTCTTTTATGATCCAACCTTCAAAGTTGTACATTGTCACTTTGCCTTATTCTGTTCAGTACATGTGAGCCACTAGTCCAGCCCACACCTAAGGGGGAGAATTAGGCTCCATGTTGACGAAAGGAGCATCCAAAGGAGTGTCAAAGAATTTGTAGAAATATTTTAAAACATCACACTATTTATGTATCTCTATATAGACTGTTGGTTTCGTATTTTATTCAACAGGTTGTTAAAATCCATTATTCTCATCTATTTTGATCTTCAAATTGTCCCCACTTTGGCCACTGAGAATCCACTTCACACTAGCCTCTGTGTGTTTTTGACATATCCTTGTCATTATCTTTAAACACTTCCTTGCTTTCTGGTGTAAGATGTTCCAGGCTTATCTTTTTTTTTTTTTTTTTGATTAAAAAGATTGAATTTAGTTTACATACCATCATAAATATTTACTCTTTTAAAGTATACAACTGATTGGGTTTTTTTTTGTTTTGTTTTTGTGAGGAAGATCGGCCCTGAGCTAATATCTGCCAATCCTCCTCTTTTTGCTGAGGAAGACTGGCCCTGGGCTAACATCCATGCCCATCTTCCTCCACTTTATATGGGACGCCTGTCACAGCATGGTCTGACAAGTGGTGCGTCGGTGCGCGCCCGGGATCCGAACCTGCGAACCCCGGGCCGCCGCAGTGGAGTGCGCGCACTTAACCGCTTGCACCACCGGGCTGGCCCCTATTGGTTTTTAATATATTCACAAAGTTGTGCAACCATCACTACTATCTAGTTCCAGAACATTTTCATCACTTCAAAAAGTAACCCTCTACCCATTAGCAGTTACTCCCCATTCCCTCTTCCCCCTAGCTCTTGGTAACCACTAATCTACCTTCTGTGTCTATGGATTTGCCTATTTTGGACATATCATATAAATATGTGGCCTTTTGTGTCTACCTTCTTTCACTTAGCATATTGTTTTTATGGTTTATCCATGCAGTCGCATGAATCATTGCGTCACTCTTGTCATGGCTGAATAATGTTCCATTGTATGGATATACCACATTTTGTTTATTCATTAATCCATTGAAGGACATTTGGATGGTTTCCACTTTTTGGCTCTTATGTATAATGCTATTATGAACATTTGTGTGGACATATGTTTTCAGTTCTCTTGGGTTCCAAGATTATCTTGTATTTTCTCTTCCCCAGCCCTGGAATCAGCCATTTCTCCAAAAAGTCTTGGCTTTTTTTAGTGGAGAATAGGATTTAGAAGCCAAGATCTGGGCACTAGTTGTGCTCATTGCTATTGGGATATCATTCATTTTAGGCCGTCTCAGTGGACAGAGCTGGGTTGTGTGTGTGTGTGTGTGTATATATATATATATATATATATATCTGTAAATGCATGCATACCTACCTACTCACATATAATATATATACATTTTTACTTAAATATTTATTTCTATATCCATGTATATCGAAAGCCGTAAAGTCACACTAATACCCTCAATTCCAATCCAACATGACAGGGTTCATTCTAGTTTTCTCCTTTTCCGTATTTATATTTCTTTTCTCTGACTGAGGAACTACTTCCTATTATCCTTAATGTATTTACTTATTACATAGTCCCCTGTTAGTAACCAATCTCCTGTCTCTGCTGCAACCCTCTCCTCTGTGCAAATACCTTTCTTACCATTCTTAGGCTCTGACCCTCTACACCCGGCTGCCTTTCTTCATGGATACCCTCCTTACCCTGCTCAGGCTCTGCTCCTGAGGGCCAGATTGACCCCCACTAGTTATCCTGCTACCCCATTCAGGCTTCTGTATCCCACATTATGGATGCCATCCTCACCCTGTTTGTGCTGTGACTCCTGATGGCAGGCCGACCCCCACATGCCCTCTTTACCCTACCTGCACTCCTACACCTCACTCCAGGCCACCTCTCCGTGTGGACGCCCTAATTCCCCTGCTCTGACACCTCACCATGGACAGCCTCCTCAACCCGCTCTGGCTCTGACACTCCACACCAGGCTGCCCCTCCCTGCCCCTCACACTTCCTGGGCTCTGTCACTCCAAATCAAATCGCCTCCACACGTGTACATCTTCCTCACCACATTTGGGTTCCAACAGCCCCACAGCAAGCCACCCACTCCATGTGGATGTCTGCCTTATCTTGCACAAGCCCTGATACCCCAACTCTGGGCCAACATGGCTCTCTTTCCTTCCTGGAAGAGATGCCTACCATGCACCATATTCTGCTTTAGGATTGAATTGTTTAGGAAGGAAAGAGGAAGAAGAGCTCCTTTGCCTTACCCTTGAACTGTTTGTTGTTTTTTTTTTGCCTCACTTGTCTTCTTGCCTTTGAATAACATTAACTTTCCCTAATTTCCATCTCACAAATTTGTTGCATATTTTTTCACTTAAATGTTATTTTAATTTTTTTCCTTTTTCTTTTGCTTCCTTATGTGTGTATGTGTTTTCAATTAGGTAGATTGGTTATGATTTTTATGAATAGACAAGTATCTTTTTCTCTAATCTACTAGGAAAAATTGTTACCCTACCAGGAGGAAATAACTAAGTAAAAGTTACCAAATGTCTGAAGCTAAGTAATGTACCAGAGTTGTGTTCTGATGGGCTTCCACCTAATTCTAGGGCTGCTATAAAAATGTGCAGCTTTTCTGAAGGGGGACGATCTGCCCAGGAAATCATTCTGTTGTTTGGCATTAGAACTCCCCCTTGTGATTTGTTTTCATCATTGTTTAATATTGAAAGCATTGGTTTTTAAATTAAGTACATCCGGTAAACGTCTTTTGGAAAATTAATTTTTCTTGTTTCCTTCAAAATATTTAGAATAGTAATGCAAATGTAGCAAAGCAATATTGATAAAATAGATCTACCATGTGGTACAATAACTTAATAATTGTTTTATATGCTTTTACTATTTGTCAACCATTCTGTGTGTCAATATATTGCATTTGATTTTGTAAAAATTGGAACAAGTCAAATTGAGAGATATTTTTATGTGGATAAAAGGGACATATCTCCATACATCACCATATTCTAGATAAATTTGTATACAGATCAAGGTGCAAATAGCTGGAAGAATTTATATCAATGTGAAATTTTTAGAATGATTATATAGGAACTTAAAAAACAAGGTTGAATAAATAACAATATTTCTATCGTGTAAACACCTTTCAGGTGTTTCTGCCCAGTTTTCCTTCATAGTCAGATGCTTTGGGAGCTGGTGCTGTTGGGGGAACCCCTCGTGGTCATGGCACCGTCACCATCGGAGTCGTCAGAGACTGTGTTGGCACTTGTTAAGTGAGTACACTTGGTTCCTGGTAGTGACAGTTGCAGCACTTGCCCATCTGTGGTGTGTTCGAACGCTCATTCCATTGATCCACACAACAACCCTGTAAGAAGGTAGTGCTGTTATAGCACCATTTTATGGATGAGAAAATTAATTCAAGCTCTATGAGGGCTGGCTGGAACTGTGTTTTTGTTTTTCTGAACAAAAACACATTCATTCACTTACACAAAGTTGGCACCTGATAAATATTAGTTGCATGAATGGTCGGTGGCTAGTAAGAGTCATATAACTAACGAATGATAGAGCCAGAATTTTACCCCATCTTCTGCCCCAAGTTCAGTGCTCTTTCAATATGCCATTCCACATTATGTATTTCCATTTGTCATTCTAGTTTCCTGAAATGAGTTTACCATTTATCGAAATAGATAAATTATCCTATGGGGGTATACTATGTGTACAGTTGTTTATAGTTATTGAGTAAAGCCTTTAATTTGTCTTTTATTTTACATGTTCTTCTTCCTTCCACAGCTGTATTTCTCCATTAAAGTACTTCAGTGATTTCCGACCTTATTTCACTATTCATGATAGTGAATTCAAAGAATATACTACCCATACTCAAGCCCCGTGAGTAAACAAAATAACTTTTATTGACCAAGTATTACCTTTATAACCAAATTGTGTAGAATTATTTTTGGTAGTAATTTAAAAGTTTAAATTTTGAACTTATTGGCAGATTGATTTTATACGGGAAGGTTTGAGGAGCTGCTGGTAATAGTTTCTTATTTAATAAGAAACTATTAATAGTATCTTATTTTCTTTGAATGATTTTATTTATTAGTGGAAGCTGTATTGTCATTAATAGCCATCCAACTGTACTTTCAGTTCAGTTTTCTTTCCTTCCTTCAGGACCTCTTACAGCATCAGTTACCTCTTCTTGCTCTCTAACTTCCTTTTTCTTCTTCCTCTTCATTGAATCAGCATGTAAACATGAAAATTCTTCCCAATTTGTAAAAGGGGAAAAAATTATCTTATCCTTTTGCTTTTGGCTCCTGTTCTGTTGCTCACCTTCTTTTCATAGCTACAGTTCTAGAATAACAACAAAAATCCTCGTTTACTGTCTCTACTTCTTGGTTTTCTGGTTGCTTCTCAGTCCATTGCAGGTTGATTTCTCCACCTCCCCTGAAGTTGTTCTTGCCGAAGTCATCAAGACCTTTCTTGCTGCCTGACCCATTGGGCACGTTATTGCCCTACTTTTCCTGCTTTCCCTTTCGTGTAACATTTAAGCTGTTGACCTTGAAAATATTTTAATCCTTGATACCACTCTCACCTGGCTGTCTGGTGGCGCATCTCAGTCTCCTTTCTCTGCCAACCCCTTTAATGTTGGTGTTCTCTAGTATTGTGTTCTGGGTTCTGATTTCAGACTGATAATTCTTTCTCTACAATCTTATCTGTACCCACAGCCTCTGTTAACACCTGTATACTGATGACTGAAATTTATCTTCCTAGCCCAGATTTTTGCAATGTTCAGACTTATATTTCTGGGTTTTTGTTGTTGTTTTTTTTACCGCATTGCCACTTGGACGTCTTAATGGCACCCGAAACAAACCATGTTCAAACTGAATTCTTTTTGTCTCCTTTTCTTCCCTAATCCCATGCCTCTTCCTATTTTCATGAATGGTACTACTTTTCACTTAGTTATCAAAAACCTAAATTGCCATAAATTTCTCCTTTTTAGTATGTCCCACATCAAGTTTTATAAAATTCTGTCAATTCAACATCCTAAAATCTCTCTCATAACATTTATCTTATTTCCAAAGCTCTCTTCTTAGTCTTAACTGTCTTCCGTCTTTCTCACATCTGCTCTTGCTTTTTCCCAAACCCCTTTCTCTCCTTGTAGGGCATTTTCCAAATTTCCCCCAGAGTGACCTTTCTAATTAGTACATTTTCATTTATGTGACATTCCTCCACTAGGTACTCTAGTAGCTTCCATTTGCCTACAAGATAACATCTAAACTTCTTAGCATATTAACTCAGTACTTAATGATTTGGCCAGCGTCTGCCCATCTGCTTTCATTTCTGACTCTTCATTCTTCCTGCTTTGTGCACTAGGAGTGCTGAACTATTTGTAGTTCTACAAACAGACCATGATCTCACTTCGTTGCTTTGCACAAGCTGTTCATTCTCCTGCATCATTTTTGCCTCCTTTATCCACTTGGCAAAGAACTCCTCCTCATCTTTCATATCTTTGTGCAAATGTCTTCTCTTTGGTGAGCCTGTCCTTTAATCACCTGGTAGACATAGTTTCTCTTTTGTAATTATTTTACATTTTACACTATCTTCACTGTCTTCTAATTTCTGGCATCGTAATTGGGTATGTATACCTTTCTTCCTGTGTGCTTTTAGAAAGATCATGTCTTTTCATCTTTATATGACTAGTTCTAAACATGGTGCTTGGCATGTAGTTGGTGTGTAATACATTGAGTGAAGGAAAAGATAATCTGTTTATTGTTCACTCAAAAGAAATTGTAAACTATTCTTCACTGATGGAACATTCATCTTTTTTCACTTTGTTTTTGTTTTCTTTTTCTGTAGGCCCTCAGTCATATTAGGAGTAACCAACCCTTTTTTTGCAAAAACGCTCCAGCACTGGCCACACATTATTCGAATAGGAGACCTTAAACCTGCAGGTAAAGTATAAACTCGGTGTTCTGTTTTTAGTGTGTAATGTGGCTGAGTAGGTATATTTCTTTCCCTTCGTTTTCATCTGTTGGTTACTTTTTAATTATGTTGATGGCAGCCTTCTTTCAGGCAACTTGAATAAGAGCCTTTGGAGAAAAGCATAGCTTCCCACTAAAATATTCAGGTTCTTGTGTGTAACCCATCATGTCCTCCTACCATAAAATGCACTTACAGTGTTATAAACGTGGAATGAATTATGCAAAATGAAACCTCAAAAATTTGAGCTACTCTTTGTATAAGCCCAATTAAATAGTGATTTCAAACACTGCTTGAATAAAATGTTATGGAAGCTTGAATTATTCAACTTAGCACAAAATTCTTGACAGTAATTCAAAACAAGTATACATTTCTGTGCACTGATACTGATTAAGGAAGTCATCAAAAGGTCATGCGTTCCTTGAGGGAAAGATATATAGTATCTTGCTCATGGTAGCTATTTAATAAGTGTTTTTTAAATGAGTAAATGAATTCTGAGATTGGAAGTTTTGTTAACTTAGATGACAGTTTAATGGTACCTCTGATATTCCTCACTGGACATTCCTGAATTTTCCGCTGAAATAATTGAGACATGAGATATCAAAAATATTTTTTAATAACTTTATGATGTGTTACTTCTAAAGACTTTTCTTTTGGTATACACAGGTATGTTTAAAACATTGTTTAATAATATTATTATTTTATAAGATATCCATTCTGATATATACATAAATCTAGATAGACATCTTAAAGTCAGGGAATAACATTTTTTTTTCTTTTTCTTTGTGAGGAAGATCAGCCCTGAGCTAACATCCAATGCCAATTCTCCTCTTTTTTGCTGAGGAAGACTGGCTCTGGGCTAACATCTGTGCCCATCTTCCTCCACTTTATATGGGACACCGCCACAGCATGGCCTGACAAGTGGTGCGTCAGTGTGCGCCCGGGTTCCGAACCCGGGCCGCTGGCAGTGGAGCGTGCGCACTTAACCACTACGCCACAGGGCCAGCCTGAGGGAGTAACATTTTTAATCAGATTATTTACACATGTTAGACTCAATCTTAACTGAAATCCTAAGAAGCCTTATGAAATAGAGGAAAGAGCTAAGGGCTTTACTTTGGCAGTCAGATCTGTGTGATCTTAGGTAGAACAGCCCTTCTCAGCCTCAAATTCTTTGTCTGCTAGGAGGATTAAACACAGTGCCTAACTCATGGCACTTTGTAAATGTCATAGTCCCTTGCTATTTCATTAGTGTCCTGTCTGCTTATTTATAATTCAGAGCTCAGCAGTCACCAGAGTCTTAGCTGTGAGAAGATATGAGAAGTTTTTTTTTTTAAATCTTAATTTAATCTTGACATGTACTTGCATGGTTTTGTCCTATTAATCTAGACTATTTGATTAATTGTAATATAATAAACTACTGTTTGTTGTTTCTTTTCAATGAAAAAAGGCTTTTTGTTGGGGATGTAAGTAGAGGAACTTTTGCATAAAATAATTGTTAAGTTGGCATGATTGACAAGTCTGTTTAACTTTTTAAGAAACCACCAAACTGTGCAACTAGAAGGATGTGCAACTATGACATACCACTATCTACTGGGGCTTTGGGGGAAAAAAGGAGGAGGATTGGCAATAGATGTTAGCTCAGAGCCGGTCTTCCTCAGCAAAAAGAGGAGGATTAGCATGGATGTTAGCTCAGGGC